AGCAAATTGATCACACTTGCGACCACTATCGACATGACAGGACAAAGCGCCAAAAACAACCCTGGATCTAGGCCGAAGATTCTAGGGACACAAATACCACAAGCTCTCTAATGTGTGTCATCACTCATACCTGACTTCCGACCAGGCGAGGCGTAGAGGAGACACAACATGTGATTTAGTTTTGAAGACATTGCGCAAGTTAGTCAATAGTGAAAACTGTTTATAATTCATAAGCTTGGTTCAAATCCCTCAAAAAAGGTTCATACAAATATCTTCCTAAAAAATCTCCTAAAAATCTGGTGGCAAAAGTGGCACACATCTCACGGTACATGATGTCAACAGAGATTTTAATTTAAGCAGCCTACTAGCTTTGGTCCACTAACCTAGAGAATGGCCAGACAATGCAAACAGACCGGCAGCTCACAACTCACTCATCCACCAGGCCATATGGTGATTTGTGCATGACATGTCTGGTGAATTTACTGAGGCATAGCCGCATGACTAAGCAACCGTTTCCTTCTTGCAACGAGCTTTTCTTGTCTGAAGGAAGACATCAGTCAGGACCGTCTTGGACTTCAGCGAAGCGAGGAGTATGTCCAGAGCCTAACATTCCAGCACAGATATCATGAACTGAACCAATTAATCAAAACAAATGGGAAACTAGTGATAAAAATAAGAGAATATGTGTGTAACCTCTTCCTTGCCAATCTTCACCATTTTTTCTTGCAGTGTGCTTAGGTCTTTGACACCACACTGCGCGAGCAAGGCAACGCTTGCCACACTGGACGCCGGTATCATCGAGAGGTCATCCTTGACTGTATACGTGGCTGTCCCGACCACAAACCCCTCACTTTTGACATGCGGCATAGCTTTGTTCATTCCGGTGGAGCAACTTGGGCATTTGCTGCCTTTAACAACTGAAAAATACCCACAACTATGGCTTTTGTAGCAGCATCTTGTCCCCTCACAGGTGAAGAACCTGCAACAGGCATTTAACTGTGCATCCCCCATCAGCTGTTGCAAAGGAGAGAGCATACCGGGGGAAATTGTTGGCTTGATGTAGGGCTCCTTGCCCTTGCTTGAGAATACATACGTGGCATCGAGCGTCTCCAGGCTATCAAGGACATTCCCAATGCTGCCAACCATACGCTCTTTGGTGAGCAGGTTGATGACGGTGCTCATCGGGAGGCATAGGAGGCTGGATAGGAACTCGACAACTTCATTGTCAGCCTCGGCAAAGCAGACTTTCTGAGCCTTGGCATCAATCAGGAGCTTCATCGATAACTCCTTAGTAGCCATGATATTCCCTTTTTATCAGAATGATTTTAATTGATCGGTTTCTACTCCTGCACCAGAAAAATAGGGTCAATTAAGGCGTTCAAAATTAGTCAGTGTTCTAGTTCAGATCATCAAAATGTGCAAAATAAAAAAATCACAATCAATTATTAGAGCCAAATAGAGTAACAAATTTTGTGAGACTATAACCCAAAAATTAAATTGTTAGGACACCAGAAAATATAATAAGAAGACCACAAGACATAACAATCATGCATATTAACAGTTTGTTGTTATTATATACTCCCTCCGTCCCAAAATAAGAGTCATGGCCGCAACAATTATTTTGGGACGGAGGGACTATAAAATTAGATAAACGGCCAAGGTCACGGGTTACATTGAAAGCCTGTAAGAATACAACTCTGGAATATTGTGCTCCGGCCAGACTTTGAAAAGGAGAAACACACAGAGATAGTAGCTTTACCCTACTCAAGTTTGTTATTTCTTCCCGCCTTGCCCAATTACTACTCCCTCCGTCCCAAATTAAGTGTCTCAACTTTAGTAGACACTTATTTTGGGACTGAGGGAGCACTTATTACTGATATTTTAACTAGATATGCAAACAATAATACTTACAAAAGCAAGGCATAAGACTGAACATTACCGCACAAGCCACAAGATTCCGTATGAGATCTGGTCGCAGATATGAGAAAGCTGATAACTATAGAAGCAACGACACTTTTTCCCAGATTGAGTCTTGAAAGTCAAGTGAACAATGGGACAGGATGTTATTGTACCAGGTGCAGCGGGGCAACCTACTGATAATAATGTTTAATTAAAGACCTCTCTGCAGACGATTGTTTTTAAGCAAACTGTACAAGAAAAATGGGTTCATACTAAATCATCTATTTTACATTTTTGTTTGTGGTGTGCAATTAATAAAATTGGTTAAAACAAGTTTCGAACAATGATGCCAAAAAAAAATTGTAAACACTGACCCTTCAATGTAATAATCATCCCTAGCTCACCATGCACAAATCCGATATTTTGGTGTTATTTCTGAGGTCCAAATTTTATTTAATTTTAATCATACTCATGTAAACATAAAAAACCCTAAAACCAGTTTATGTTGCAGAAGAACATGGTGGAGCTAACCTAGAATGCCACAAACTAAAAAAATGGATTAGATCAGATCTATTCTGTTTGCGTCTTTGTGGTGCAAATTAAATATAAATAGATTTCACACATTGATAACGGATCTTTGCTCCTTGGATCGCCCTACAGCTCCTTTCCTTCCGCGTGTTCAGAAGGCCAACAAACTCTATTATAGAATATTTTACCCAAATGTCCGTAGAACTACAAGATTTTGCGTGTTTTTCAGTTGCAAGTTACAGGATTGAAGATAGAAGTGCATCGATTAATGTGATTAAATTCGTGAAAACTAATTCAAAACTATCTCCCTATTTATAACTTCAGAAAATATACTCATCTTGTACTAAATAAGCGACAAGTAATATGGATCGAGGGAGTACTGTTTTCTAAACTTTATTCCCCTCATATAAGCAGTGCCTTCCAAAAATCCATGAACCGTGATGATGGCCGAAAAAACCCGAGAAAGATCAACTGAAATCCTGAATATGCAGACATATATCAGCGACAACAACGATCTCCTATTCAGATGTGACGGATTTCATCTATCGCAGAAAGAGCTAGCTAGGGTGGATTCGTCGCGAATAAAAGGGAAAAGCAACTGCAAGGAGAAGCAAGTGGATTACGTAGGATGACTGGCGGGGAGGAAGCATCTCACCGTGATGATCACCAGTCTGCCACTGCCGCCTGCGGGAGAAGAGGAGGGGCGAGGAAGTCGACGAGGATTCTTCTTTGATGCAACCTGGCAGGTCAATGGGCGACCGGATGGGTTAGAAATTAGTTAAGGACTCGTGTGGGCTATAGAATACACGGGCCATTTACCCTGATTATATATATATCCTGGCCGATTATCAGCGTCGCGTCGTTAGGCCCATCTCTGCATGAAGCCCGTTACTCGCGTCGCGTCGCTAACTCCCGAACTTTAATCACTGGATTGCACCGCCATTGGGGATGGTCAAGATCAATGTAGATGCCGCAGTAGGCCGGATGCGAGGTGCAGCGGGAGCAATCTGTAGAGACCGAGATGGAGCTTTCTTGGGAGCTTCGGCGGTGGTTTTCTCCCATCTTTCAGATCCCGACACCTTGGAGATGCTCGCGATCAGGGAGGCTCTGGCATTGGCAGATGACATATATGTCAGAAGGGTACATGTTGCTTCTGATTGTAAAGTGGCCGTCGACGACATCCAACAACAAAACAAAGGAAGCTACGGGGCAATTGCGCATGAAATTATACAACATAGGTCTGAATTTGAGGCTTGTAATATACATCATGAATTTAGGAGCTCGAATATCGAGGCTCACAAGCTAGCAAAGCACACTTTATTTTTCGGGGTTGGCCGCATGTTTAGTTAGGACAGCCCAACGATCTTGATTTCGTCCCTGTATACATTATGACGACGTAATAAAGCTTTGCAGTTTGTCTCAAAAAAAAAAACTCCCAAACTTTTTTCTCCTCAAACAAACAAAAGAAAAAGGATGTGGCTAACTGCCACACGTGTGGCATACTAGCCATCTGCCCACACACCATGTGTGGTGTGAGCAGAAAGCAGCCCACACGGGTAGGGCTGGACACGAGCCGAGCCGAGCCGAGCTTGATCCGAGCCTGGCTTTGGCTCGCTCTGGAGCGGCTCGGCTCGGCTCGGCTCGCTCAGCCAACGAGCCTACTTCAACCGGCTCGGCTCGGCTATGGCTCGGCTCAGACCGAGCCGGCTCGTAAGTCAGTTTCTCCCAGAACCATTTAATAGTACATACCTCTATATATAGTGCATATACTTGATTTTTTGCGGTAATTAAACCTATATTTTGGAAAAAAAACAGTTTATACTACTAAAAATGAACAATCCAACAATCTATTGTTTTAAGAATTGGTCATAGTAATGAAAAATAATGTTCTTATATGAATTCTTCTACAAAATTGTAACAATGGAACACATATGAGAGAAAGAATTGGGCAGCATTTCTATTGAATTTTGGACAGCACTTCAATTGAACTTTACACAGGAAAACATCAAATATTGACAGCCAAACAAGGAAATTTTGCATAGCATAACACTTACCACTTTGACATAAAACTGAGAAAATGTTAACAGCCAAACAATGACTAGTGAAAACCACATAATACAAAGTTCATAGTTCATCACAAGTTCACAACAACATTGTTGAAAGTGCATGGTTCATCACAACATCATTCAAGGTCCATAGTTCATCACAACAACACACATAATTCGAAGTTCATCACAACAAAAGAAATGGCACGAGATGATCACGTTGACCTCAACAATCCACATGAGAAGATCATGTAGACATCCATCTTAGAAATAGCAAGAGCAACACCCACATGGCGAATATCGACATGTAACACAGATTTGTAAACTTGATATTCTCAATATGTCAAGATAGGAAAACTGAGACATGTAAAAACATTAGTTACCAATTGTTGTCACCCCCCACATCAAAAATATTGGGCAACTTGATATTCTCAACATCGTCCTCCTCATCTTCGTCCCTCTCCTAATTATTTGTAAGTCAGCCACATACAAGAAATATACAGAAATCATAGAAGAAAAAGATAGGAATCATACCACCACATTGAAGTCCTTGTGAGAACCTTTGATATAACTAGCACCGCACACCAAGGCTTCCACCATTTCTGGTTTCAAAGAACTCCTGTAGTCATCTAAAACCACACAAGTAGACATATCTAAGTTTAAGCATAGGATGACAAGTTGACAAGCTAACATCCAATGTAACAAGTAGACATACCTAAAACTCTTCCACCCGTGCTGAAAGTTGATTCCGAAGACACGGAGGTAGCCGGGACAGTCAAGAACCTCTTTGCCATCATTGCCAATACGGGGTATCTAGGTGCATTCACCCTCCACCAATCAAGAAGATTGAACATAGGATCCATTGCCTCATTCAAGTCATCTAGATAGTTTCTAAGCTCACTTTTTGATGGTGTTGATGAAGTGGCTGATAAGAAGGACTGAAACTCACAATCCATAAGTGGCATCGAGGTACTTGTGTTGCAATTGTTCTTGGCTGAATCTGATTTGTCACCAACCCATCTGAATCTGATTTGTCACCAACCCCAGGCGGCACCACAAACAGAGTATCTTGCTCTTCCTCGTCCTCCTCCTCATCCTCTTCCACCTCTTCATGATCCTCCTCCGCTTGCTTATCATGCTCCATTGCCTAGCACACAAAAACAGCACACATGAGCTTGGACACACATATATTTGACTTATGGATAGCAAAAACAGCACACACATGAGCTTGGACACACATATATTTGACTTATGGATAGCAAAAACAACACATACATGAGCTTGGACACACATATATTTGACTTTTGGATAGCAAAAACAGCAACACACATGAGCTTGCACAAAAATATATTTGACATTTGGATACCAAAAAGAGCACACACATGAGCTTGGACAAACATATATTTGACATTTGGATACCAAAAACAGAACATATGAGCTTGGGCACACATAAATTTGACTTTCAAAAAGCAAAAACAGCATATACACAAGCTTGCACAAATATATATTTTGCACGTACATACCTGCGAAGATGTAGCCTCCCTCTCATAGTAGTTTGCGGAGCCGGAGGCAACGGCGATTCCGGCAAGCACGCCAGCGCCGGTGGGGTCAGGGAGACGTCGAGGCGGAGGTTTCTTTTTTACCCTATACAACAACTCAGCGATTGGGACATTGCTGGAATCATTTGTCAACTTCATCGGCAGCCGTGTAGTAGCTGCTGCATTGCCCTTCGCATTCCCCTTGTGCATCCCCGAGACCGGCAACTTTCTCTTCATAATGGAGTCCAACGTCCTCTCTTTCTCCTTCTCCTTCCCACTAGCCTTCCCCTTTTAATTGTCCATTGTTGCGACGATAGGCGTCTGCACACACAGCAAACAACAAACGGTCAATCATCAACAACAGTAAACTAATTAGACATGGAGCGTATGTAATTTTCCAGCAACTAGATTTTTTTTCAAGCTGCTATGCTACATCAAGTAGATCATCAACTAGTTCATCAACAACAAAAAACTAATTACACATGGAATCAATGAAATTTTTGATCTATCCATCCATTCTACCCTACAAGTCCATCCATACATGATCCATCCATCCGTTGCTGCTACATCTAGCCGTACAGACTACAATACATCCATCCATGATCCACCCATCTAGCCCTACATCTACCTGACCACGTATATCGATCCATCCATCCATCCATCCACCAGATGTGTACTAGTGCAGACAACTACGGCTAGGGTTTGGGAAGTTCGAACTACATGACTACATCCAACGATCCATCCATCCATTGATCCATCACATGCGTACTAAGTTCAGAGAGCTGCTGCTAGGGATTGGGATTTGGGAAGGAAGAAAGTACCTGCTCCGGCTCGTCATGTTCCGCGAGAAACCAGGGGAGGCACGTCCGTCTACGTCCGGTGTGGTGAGGAACGGTCACGCTGCCCGTCGCCGTCGGTGCCGAGTTGGCGAGGAAGCGCGGCGTCGCTCGTCGCCGTCGATCCAGATTCGCGGCGTGGCGAGAGAGAGGTGAGGCGGCACAGAGCAGAGAAAGGGAGAGATGAGAGACTCTGGCTGTGGTTGCTCGTGCGGTTGTGCCCTAATGCGATCGATGGTGGAATTGGGCTGGGCCGCAAGCGAGCCAGCGAGCTGGACCGGCCGAAACTCGGCTCGGCTCGGTCGCGAAACGTGCCTGTTTTCAGACCTCGGCCCGCTCGATAATCCTATCGAGCCGAGCTGTAACGGGCCGAGCTGGAGCGAGCTTCAGGCCGAGCCGAAAAGCTCACTCGTACGTCCAGTCCTACACATGGGTTGTGTGTGGGCAAACATTATAATTGCCCACACGTGTGGGCTCAGCTACTTCGTGCCACATGCCCAACAAAGTACTACTCATCTTCACCCGACGCATGTGGCACGAAGCAAAAATGCCCACACATCCTTGGGCAGCTACGTTAGGTACTCCCGCGGGATGACGATTTAGTTGCCATCCGGATGGCAAATGTAGTTATCTAGGGATGGCAAATGTAGTTGTAAATGCATGCCAACTTTATCTGTTTTGGTTAACTATAGTTGCCATGTCAAATTTATGGTAGTTGCCGCGTGTAATCAAACCATAGTTGCTGTGTGTGATTAACTACTTGCCACATATGATCAAACAGTAGTTGCCATGTGTGTTTACCTAGTTGCCACGTGTGGTCCAACCATAGTTGCCATGTATGGTTAATCACAGGTTCCATGTGTGTTTATCTGGTTGCCACGTACGCGCAACTGCAGTTGCCGTCTTGCAACGAATTATAGTTGCCATGTGTGTTTACCTAGTTGCCACGTACGTGTAGTGCAATTGCCATCCAACAACGTACGGGTGTCGTGTGGGCGAAATCAGTTCGCCCACACGCACGTGGACTAGGTGTTGGTTGTGTGGGCAGAAACTAGTTCACCCACACAACTCAGCTGCCAAACCGCGTACTGTGGGCGTGTGGGTGAACTCTCCAATGCCCACACACCAGCCCCGTCCTACGTGGCACGCGAATTCTACCTCAATGTGTCTAAATTTGTGCAAACTCGATTGGACGGTCATCCACACGTGTGGACGTTAGTCTTTAAAAAAAAGGACTTCCTGAACTTTCTTCTCCCCTTCCTTGTTTTCTGTTCGTTATGCCCAATTATGGAATCCCTGTCCACGGACCCAGACGTTACCTCGTGGTCTTTGGAGCCTGTGGCTGCTGCCATCGGGTGACCAAGTGCTTAAGCGGAATGGGCCGGGGGATGGCCAATGCCAGCTGTGCTGTTGCGGAGGACCTGAACCACCTTTTCTTTAGGGCATGTACAATGGTTCTATCTTAGCAATGCCATGTAGGATAAATGATGAGGTGGAGGAGAGAGAAATCATAAGAGAAGGCTTGTCTTCTCTTAATTAAGAGAAGGCAAGAGATGATCTCTTAGCACAATATGTCTCACCATATTTTTAGGAATAACTAGTTATTGAAGATAAGGCTAAGAGATGACCCATTGTAGACATGTTTGTTTGTCATCTCTAAATTATATACAAGAATTAAGATAAGACCGCTTTATCAACCATTGTACATGCCCTTACTGTGTGTCCGTCCAATTTTTGTGGAGCTGCTTCAGGGAAGTCTGGGGCAATAGCTGGTCCCAACCAACTTCCCTCACTGGCACTAACTAGTGTCCGGTTGCTCGGGCCAGGTTCACAGACTGATGTGGGTGAATTTTGGGACCTTGGCCTAGACTCTGTGTGGTGTGATCGAAATAAACTTATCATCGAGCATATTTTTCCTTCAAGGGCTAAATATGCGATTTACAAGTTGTGTGGCTTCTTGCAGCAGTGGAAGCCCCTATTCAAGTGGTGGGATAAGTTGACGATCGACAAATTGACGAGGAAGCACAAGGAGGTGGCGGCCAGGCTACTCATGATCCTTTATCCTCCTGGGCGTGTTGTAGCCTGGCCGCCACGACTCCTGGCCGCCACCTTGGCGTGTTGTGATGTAGCCTGGCCGCCAAGGAGGATAAAGGATCATGAGTAGCCCCCAGCATAAGGAGTCGTGGGCGTGTTGTGATGTAGCCCCCAGCATATTCTGAACTTTCTTCTGTACTTTTTTTTGAAGGCTTTCTTTTGTACTTTTGTTGTTTGCGTGTCGTGTGCTGGGTGTCTGGTGTTTGTGGACCTCTGTCTCTTCAGTGGGATGCTTGTATGTTTGTCGTTGTTTCTTTATTTATAAAGCAGGGTAAATAGTCTTTTTTGGTAATTATGGAATATAGATCTCTCTGGTTCAAATTTTTATTTTATGGATGGCTCTATCAGTTGGGAGAAAATAAGTACAGTAGCATAAAGATAATATTTTTTCTTGGATTGTTTTTAGGAAAAGTTTGCTGAAGGGATTTTTTTTCCAAAACATTTACGAAAATGTTTTCAGAAAAATCCATGTATTTATGAAACTGATAGATGCAACCAACATACGTATTTGACACATGTATCTTCAAATGTATGTTGCGTATTGAAAATTATTGATATATTTTCATGACTGAAAACCATATGTGGTTTTTGGGATAGTGGAGAGTTAAACGCATGATTTTAGTAAATTGTTTTTTGGAGGTTTTTTAGGAAAACATGCTTTAGACGAACCTCTGATGTAGCGCGACTTGTCCAAGGTAATGTGTGATGCCGGGACACCGTGTACGGATAACCCGTTTTTATACACTGGATTTTTTTTACTTCCGCAAAACTCGGTTTTATCAAGGATTTTTGTTAACTAATCCAAACAGCATATTAGGTTGTTACAAAATCAAGTTTAAGGAGACCGATTCTCCATAAACTTGCTATCCAAACAATCCCTACAAAAAGAGTCCAATGCATATATAATTATATATACTCCTTTACGGACATTTAATAATGTGTGGGACCCACATGTCATAGAGTCTGCTAAATAATATTTATATTGTGAATGTTTCGTATGATGTTCTTAATCACTCTACACTGTGGTATGGCTATAGTGGGATGATAGGATATAGCATGCCCCGGAGGTCGCGCAGCTAAAGCAAGTCAAGCAGACGACCTGCCCTCCTTGTGAAGGTTAACAAGGTTGAAATGATTTCAATGAAATGGTCTTGATTAAAAAAGAAACAAGGTTGAAATGGTCTATTATAGAGCGTGTATTATGAACTAAACAAAATTATATATTGAATAGAACTGGCGGGTTCTCCACATAGTTTGTATGGGATCTCCAACCATGACTACTTCTTTGCTTCAGACTCGGTCACATATAGACAACTCCATCAACAGTGACCATTTCATGTGTAGTATAGGTAACGAAAAGGGAGGTTACTTGGCCATTCTTATTCATGTTCGTCATGCGTGACATTGATGCACGCATAATCTAAGAAGCATTAACAATGTGCTCGGTATCTTCTTCCATGTGTACACCAGCAGGTAATTGCATGCATGATGAAAACT